AGGAGTAGTAGTAGTAGTTCTTGGCGGACCCTTACTTGTTGCGAGAACTTGTGATTTCTGCCTGGCTGTTGGAATAGGTTCGAAAATCTTCGGTCATCTTGCGTCGCGCTTCTCGCTGCGCGAGGTGCGGGGATGTTCGCCCTGCCTTCGCGCCGTCCCCCGGGTATCGTTGTGTGTTTTGTCGGGCGCCGCCGAGCAAGAGCCAATAAAACAAACAAGGCAACATGAACGTTGCACAAGGCTGGTTTTTCCATTGTCGCACAGGGGGGAGGGCAAGGAGGGTGAGGAGGGTGAGGAGGGTGAGGAGGAGGAGGAGGAGGAAGAGGAGGAGGAGGAGGAGGAGGAGGAGGAGGAAGAGGAGGACCATCAGGAGGAAACGGTTTTGCGTCCGTTTGCTGGAACAGCATCCCTTGCGCTCGCCCCTGGGCACCGCGCCCGGCCGCGAGAACGCCCTCGGGGGGCCGGCCTCAGCGCGCCAGCCGCGATCGGCTGCGCGCGTACCACGAGGCGGTGGTGAACATCGGGGAGCGTGTGATCATCCACCTGCGGGTGAACATCCGGGAGAGGGTGATCATCCACCAACTGTTGAACTGCGCGCTGGGCATCTACAACATCAGCTAAGGGCTACGACACATACCCACCTCGGTGGAGATCCACCACCAAGTATGCCGAGACCATACACGCATAGAAGGGCACGAACAGATGCAGCTCTCAAGAGAACGGGCTATCTCGTCTGACACGGGCGATCAGCACACCTCAACGACATCATGACCATCGCTACGACCGCCTTCATGACGGCGTCCACTATAGGACGGGACGAGCTGCCTAATATGCAGCCCGAGGGCCCGAGGACGAGCTGCGTAACAGGCAGTCCAAGCACGAGAGCTACCAAGAGTACCACACCAAGCGCGCCACCAGGCACGACGGCAAGTACGACAGCAAGAGCGGCGGCTTGAACCCAGCCGCGGCCATCTTCAAGCCGAGCCAGACCACGATCGCCCCCCAGGCGAGAATGGACAATACTGCGTCGACCTGGTGTTTCTTTTTCTGAGATACCAGAGCCAGCGTGACCAGCTACAGCGGTCCCCAGAGCAGATACGACTACCAGTGCTACGACGACCATCAGGACTACGATTTCTACCAGAACTGCCAGGACTACGATTCCCACTGCAACTTCACCGCGGGGCCAGGGACCATTGGTACAAGTCCAGGAAGGCCCAGGAGGCCAAGAAGGCAGAGGAGCCCCAGGAGGTTCAGAAGGGCATGAAAGCTTAGGAGACCACTGCAAAGCTACAAGGGCCACCAGCAGAACTACAAGGGCTACTTGCCGAACTTCCAGGGCCACGCGCAGAGCCTCGAGGGCCACCAGCTGAGCCTCAAGAGCCACCAGCTGAGCTACGGGGACCACAACCTGTGCTACGAGGGCCGCGCGCAGAGCTACGAGTGCCGCCAGCTGGACTACCAGGGCCACCTGCCGAGCCACGAGAAAAACCAGCTGAGCTACTAGGGCCACCTGTTGGAACTACGAGGACCACCAGCTATGCTACGAAGACCACACGCAGAACCACGAGAGCCACCCGCAAAGCTGCAAAACCACCAGCTCAGCTACCAGAGCCACCAACAAGATTACGAGGGCCAACTGAACTTCGATGTCCACAAGTCGGGCTACGAGGACCACCAACTGAACTAGGAGGGCTACCAGCGGAGCTACCGAGACCACAAGCTGAGCTACGTGGAACATGTGCAGAGCACCGAGGGCCTCCAGCACAGTTACTAGCGACACCAGCTGAACTACAAGGTCCAAACGCAGAGCTTCAAGAGCCCCCGACACAGCTACGAGCCACTAGCTGTACTGCAGGGGCAACAAGCAGAACTATGAGGGCCGCGATCAGGTCTTCGCGAAACACCAGCTGAAATAAGGCGACCACGCGCTGAGCTACGACCGCCGCGCGCAGAGTTATGACAGCCACTAGTTGAGCTACTGGGTCCACCTGCCGAGCTACGAGAGCCATCGGCTTAGCCACGAGGACCACCTGCTGAGCGACGCAGGCCACAAGCAGAGCTACGGGAACCACCAGCGGAGCCACCAGTGCCACCAGCTGAGCTTCAATATCCACCTGCAGGGCTGCGATGGCCGCAAGCTGAGCTTCAAAGCCGGCGAAGCTAGCTACGAGGACCACAAGTCGGGCTACGATGACCACCAGCTCGAGGGCCAACATCAACACCATAAAGACCACAAGCTGAGTTACGCGGGACACGAGCTGAACAGCAAGGGCCTTCAGCAGAACTGCCAGCGCCACCAGCTAGAGCCCCCGACACAGCTGCGAGGAGCACCAGCCGAAGTACAGGGGCAACAAGCCGAGCTCCGAGGGCCGCGGGCAGGACTCCAAGAGTCACAGGCTGAGCTACGAGGGCCACGAGAGGAGGACCAGGATAGCGACGAGCAGGACGAGCCCATCTTCATTATGTACGCCGCGCTGGAGGGGCTGGGCTTCCTCAGGACGATGATCGCCGAGGGGGAGGCAAGCACAGAGGCCTTCGCAATCAAGGTCATATCCAAACTCACGGATCCCGCGTACGACACGATGGTGCCCGTAGACATGAGCGTTGGCCGCCACTACGAAGACGGGGACGAGACGGTCCGTGCGCTGGACCCCTCATGAGCCATCACGGCGCGCTTGTCCGCCCGCGGCCACTACGAGGCACACCAGGAATGGATGCCTATGGGCCAGCGATCCATGCCAATCCCCGCCGCAGAACTTCTACGACGACACGAGGAAAACGATTGCGACGACGAGGACAACGAGAGCGACGTGGAGCACGAAGATAGTAGCGTGAAAAACAATGTCTATTCAAACAAAGACAGGTGGAACGCTGAGTGCTACGACCTGGCAGGCGACGTCTCCGGGGAGTCATGGCGATACTGGCCTGCCTGAGTCTGGAGAATATTACGAACTACTACAGCGTTGCGGACAGGGGTATCTATGTACATCTTACGCATGGCCGACAAAATACTCCATGTGCTACGCCACCGGCAAGGTGCTACGTCTACGCTGTGTACCGCATCTACGGTTAAGTGGCCCCGCTGCTCCACCCACCTCCCCATCCTCCCCCTCCGAGGCCTAAGGTGGTATTCGCGAGTGTGGGCGGCCCTCCCCTCCTTCCTGCCCCCCTCCGGAAAGGGCGGGTGACGCGCTCAGCGGCTGCGGAGAGAGGAGGTACAGGCCCAACACCCCCTCCCACCCTTGCCGCTATCCGCCCTCATCTTTACGAGAGAGGGACGCGGGGCGAGACCTACGAACGTCCCCAAACTACCCATGGGTCTTCCTTTCTGCAGGTCCCACTCTGCGCAGGATGAATTGGACGAGGAAGATGAAGATTCGGGACAAGGAAAGGGAACGAGGATGAGGCGTAGGCGGATGCGGACGGGGGCGGCGCTGGAGGAGGATAACCATATGTGGCACCCTAATTGATCGCCCGTCGCCGTGATCCGTCGAATGGTATGCATTGATCATTCGTAACCTTTGATTCCAGAAAGAGACCTGCTGTGATACGCATCACGATACCAGCGGGGGAGGCGGAAGCGGGGGAGGGGAGGATGAAGAGGCAGAGGAAGACGGAGGAAGAGGAGGTGGCGGAGGGGACGGAGGAGGAGGAGGCGACGGCGACGAGATCCTCGCGTACGATCTGGGGCGCTGCCCACCCAGGGCCGGAGCGGGGGCGCCCTAGCGCCGAGCAGGTTCGCTGAAGTGATTCGGCGTCCTCGTCGTCGTCGTCGGCGTCGTCGGCGTCGTCGTCGTCTTCGTCGTCGTGGGCGTCGGGGGCGCCGTCGTCGTCGTCGTCGGCGTCGTCGTCCTCGTCGTCCTCGTCATCGTCGGCGTCGTCGTCGTTGTCGTCGTCGTCGTGGGCGTCGGGAGCCGGAGGGGGTAAGGGGCGGGCCTTCTCAGAAGGCTCGGAGGGCCTCTGGCCTTCTGAGAAGTTTTCGAAGCCTCCCCCGAAGACACAGGAAGCTCCTCAACAGGCCAAAGGCCTTCTGAGACGCGCCGCCGCCCTCTGAGAGGGTCTCCTCACTCTCACTTCCCCCCCTCGCTCGGCGCCGAACGATTTCACTGGCCCTGCAACGCGAGCGCGAAGCAGAAAGTTGGGCGGGGGAGGCACGCGGGATGGGCAGCAGACTGGGGCCCCCCCGGGCGTCGCGGCACATACGCCCATCCGCAGGGCCCCACCCCTCCAAGTCGGCGGTTCCAAGGTGGGGCCCCGAGGGATGCGGCCCTGAGGGCAGGAGAGGGGTCGGCCAACAAGCTCCACCCTGCGCCCGAATTCACCTCCTAGCTCCTATTGTCGAAGAGCTCTGCGAGGTAAGCTGCGGGGGCACGACGTCGGCGTGTCGTCTCCTCGTCGTCGCACGCTTGTTCATTCTCCCCGGGTCCTGAGCTGAAACCGCCAGTGTTTATGTTTGATGCCACCCGTCCTCATGGCACCGCCCCTCAGGGCCGCACCTTTAACCCGCTGGCCAGAACGGCCTGATATGCCTCGTGCGCACTGCGGGCGCCCAGTCGAGGAGGAGGAGGACGAGGAGGAGGAGGAGGAGGAGAAGGAGGAGGAGAAGGAGGAGGGGGCCCGAGGAGGAAAGGGAGGAGGAGGAGGACGAGGAGGAGGAGGAGGCGGAGGAGGAGGGGGATAATGGGGACCAGGATAAAGGGGAGGAGGAGGAGGGGGAGGAGGAGGACCTTTAAACCCAAGCCTCATCAACGATGTTGAAATACACCCTCCCTCCAAGATCCCGCTCCATAGGTTCCAATCCAACAAAGTGGCATTTCCATTGAGGGAATGGCCCCGTTGGGGGAAACCCGTGCGAACATCTTGAAGCGCACCAGAACACCATTTCCAGGACTTCAAAGCCACGAGTTACATTGACTGTTACGTTTTGACGATTCTGAATCGCGCCAGAACGCCATTCCTGGGACGGCAACGCCGCGAATCAACATAATTGCTGCGCCCTGTCAATCCTGACTCGTTCCAAAGCGCCAGTTCTGGTCTGTTAGCCATGAGAACCAATGAAGTTCTGGCAGATGTTTAAAACGAATGTGCGCGGCGCTAGAGCGAGAACAACATGTTGAAACTGATCCTCTCTCACTTTGTGAAGCTCTTGCAATGGTTTAAAGCAAGTGTGCGCGGCGATGACGCGATAACCACATTTTCAAAACCACCCGCCCTGAATCCGTTACGCTCTTGCGAAGTTTAAAAACGAATGTACATGGCACTAAAGCGAGAACGAACATTTGAAAACCACCCGCCCTCAATCCGTGAAGCTCTTGCACATGTTTCAAGGGAATGTGCGCGGTGCTGAAGCAAGAACCACTTTCTGAAAGCCACTCGCCCTCAACCCGCGAAGTTCTTTCAAACACGGTTCAGCAAAATGTGCGCGGCGCGGGAACGAGAGCCACATTTTGAAAACCACCCGCTTTCAATCCATGAAGCTCTCGCGAATGTGTGTTTTAAACGAAGGTGCGCGGCGCTACGAGTCGCCCTCAATCCGTGTAACCCTTGCGGTTTTGTAAAACGAATGCGTGCGGCGCGAATGTAAAAAAAACCACACTTTGAAAACCACCTGCCCTCAATCTGTGAACTTCTTGCACATGTTTACAACGAAGGTGCGCGGCGCTCATGCGAGAACCTCATTTGGAAAACCACCAGCCATCATTCCGTAAAGCTGTACCCGTGCATATCTGCCGGCGACCCTGGAACGGTGCTCCAGGGGTAACATGACACTGGTTTGATCAACCCCCTCAGGGCCGACCAGCCCTGGGGGGGGGCTTCGTTCAGACAAACTTTCGAACCAGGGGGTCCCAGGTGCGAGGGGGAGAAGGAGGTGCGGCAAGAGGAGGAGGACCATGAGAAAGAGGGAGGAGAAAAAGGAGGAGGATGAGAAGGAGAAAGAGGATGAATAATAGGAAGGGAGGAGGAAGAGGAGGAGGAGGAGAAGAAGGAGGAGGAGGAGGAGGACGAGGAGGAGGAGGACGAGGAGGAGGAAGGGAGGAGGAGGAGGAGGAGCAGGAGGAGGAGGAGGAGGAGGAGCAGGAGCAGGAGCAGGAGGAGGAGGAGGAGGAGGAGGAGGAGAAGAAGGAGGATGAGTAATGAGGAGGATAAGTAAGACTAGGAGGAGGAGGAGGAGGAGGAGGAGGAGGAGGAGGAGGAGGGAGGAGGAGGAGGAGGAGGACGAGGAGGACCAGTGCAAACCCAAGAGTCATCAACGATGTTGGAATTAACCCTCCCTCCAAGCTCCCTCCTCATATGCCCCTACAGCGGTTCATTTCAATTGAGGGAACTGCCTCGTTGGAAAACGACCGTCTGCAGACCCTGAAACATGCCCAAACATGGTTCTCGGGATTTCAACGCCACGGATCAACCTGACTGCTGCGTCTTGACGATCCGGAATCGTGCCAGAACGCCATTCTTGAGACTTCAACACCGCAAACCATCATAACTGTTGCACATGCATAATCCTGAATCCTTCTAAAACACCATTTCTAATACGTTGAAATCCGCGAATATCTTACACATGTTAAAAATGCGCAGCGCTAAGGCGAGAGCCACATTTTGAAAACGAGCCGCCCTCAATCCGTGAAGCTCTTCCACATTTTAAAAAAACGAATGTGCGCGGCGCTAAACCGAGAACCACATTTTGAAAACGACCCGCCCTCACTCCGTGAAACCCTTGCAAATTTCAAAACGAATGCGCGCGGCGTTAAGACGAGAACCACATTTTGAAAACGACCCGCCCTCACCTCATGAAACTTTTGGAACTTTCCACACGAATGTGCGCGGCGTTAAAACGATAGCCACATTTTGAAAACGGCCCGCCTTGAATCCGTGAAGCTCTTGCTAAGGCGAGAGCCACAGTTTGAAAACCACCCGCCCTCCATCTGTGAAGCAGCTGTTACTTTTTAAGCTTCAGAGCCACAAATGGTGCGGAAGTCTCAAGCAAAACGCCCGGCCCGCCCTAAAATCTGGCCTCGGGTTGCGACGGGGAGAAATTACTATAAGGAGCAAGAGTGGAGGAGGGGGAGCAGGAGGAGGAAAAGGAGGAGGAGGAGGAGGAGCAGGAGGAGGAGGAGAAGGAGGAGAAGGAGGAGGAGAAGGAAGGGGGGAGCGAGGAGGAGCAAGAGGGGGAGGAGGATGAGGAGGATGTGGAGGAGGAGGAGGAGGAGGAGGAGAGGAGGAGGAGGAGGAGGAGGAGGAGGAGGAGGAGGGGGAGGGGGGAGAGGATGAGGAGGAGGAGGAGGAGGAGGAGGAGCAGGAGGAGGAGGAGGAGGGGGAGGAGGATAAGGAGGAGGAGGAGAGGAGGAGAAGAGGAGGAGGAGGAGGAAGAATACTCAGGACGGGGAGGAGGAGGCGCCGGCTCCCAGCCCCTGGGGAGGCATGGGAGAGTCCACGCGAAAGTGGCTTGCGCAGCAAGTGCCAGAGGGGCCTGGGCGCCAGGAGACACTCAGCACGCTCCGCTGGTCCATCGCCACCTGCGTGGTCCAGGAGGTGACGCGCACGCTCATCAGCGCGGATGAGGAGGAGGAGGAGGAGGAGGAGGAGGAGGAGGAGGAGGAGAAGGAGGAGGAGGAGGAAGAAATGGAGGAAGAGGAGGGGGAGAAGAGGAGGAGGGCATGAGGCGGATGAGAAGGAGGAGGAGGAGGAGGAACAAGAGGATGATGATGATGAGGAGGAGGGGGAGGAGGAGGAGGAGGAGGAGGAGGAGGGGGAGGAGGAGGAGTAGGGGGAGGAGAAGGAGTAGCAGGAGGAGCAGGAGGAGGAGGAGGAAGAGGAGGAGGAAGAGGGGGAGGAGGAGGGGGAAGACGACGAGGAGGAGAAGGAGGAGGAGGAGGAGGAGGAGGAGGAGGAGGAGCGGCCGAGCGGTGGGGGGTGGCGGGCGTAGGCGTGGGGCGGGACGGGGCGGCACGGCCCGGCGGGTCCTGGGCGGCGGCGTCGAGCTCGTCCTCCATCTCCACGGCGACCCTGCTGACGATCTGCAACAGGCTCTCGCCAGGGCGGCGGGCGGGCAGGCGGGCGAGGTGTCTTGCCGCCGCTGCGGGCTCTCCTCCCGCCCGCCTGCCGCTTCGACCTGCCGCTCTGCCTCCTCCGACGGCCACGCCGCGCCACGCCGTCATCGGACGTCCCCAAAGAGGCAGCTTTCCTCCAATTCCGGCAAATTCACTAGCATGGAAAGGGGATGGGACTTCAAGTGTACCCACACCGCTACCCCATCCTCGGTCTCCCTTTTTTGGCCGCCTGGGAGGCCCTCGTTGCCGCGGCTGCATTCGCGCCGAAGTTCTGGTCAGAACGCACCGCGGGAGAGGTCTGTGGAGCAGCAGTATCGGTATGAAGCATGGGTTCTAAGATTCAGGCGAGTTGGCTGGCATGGGGTGGGGCGAAGGTGGAGGGAGGGAGAGGCGTGGCGTGGCGGGGCCCGAAAGGGAGTCCGGACTTCACGCAGGCTGGGACTCACTCGCCCGCCTTTTTTTCGAGCAAGCATAACTCGAAACAAAGCGGCGGAGAGGAAGGGGGGAACGCCATGCAAGTGAAGTTGTCCCCCCTTGAACGCCCTCCAGAAGCCTCCAGCCCCAGGGGTTCGCTTCCTAGCCCATGCGGCCCCTGCACCAATCCGGAGCCGCCGAATATCCATCGACTCGAGATCGAACCGCTGAACGGGCGAGATTGAAAACGGCATGCTGGATCTGAGCCCGTGCGGCTGCCTATTCGGCAACGGAACGAGCTCGCGCGATTGGGCTCCGAACGTGTCTAACCCCAACGCTTTCAACCCCCTTCTCGCCTACCCTCGCCCCCCTTCGACCCTTCCCCGTGAAGAACGTGTTTCCAGTAGGGTGAGAATGATGTCATGATGCGATTGGCTCAAAATGCACCCCAGAAGTTCTGGAGTATTGATCGGACCTCGTTTATGCAGCCTCCGCGGACAATTCGGAAATCAAGGAGACCCAAGGAATCTTGGAATCTATCATTTTCATGGACTCTTGAGGCTCTGACTGACAGCAGGGTGCGCCCGTATACGTGCGTGTGTATATATATATATATATATATATATATAACAAAGATATGAGAACCAAGCGCGCGCTACGCGCGCGCTTAGGTTCTAGCCGACTGCGCAGTCGTTGTCAATTGACCTTGCGCTGATCCACGAAACCCGAAGTACCCAGGGAGACGTTCCCCAGGCCAGGGCCGCCATTGCGCGGAGGTGCTGGGCCTTCTGGGGGGGCTTGGGGCTCGGTGGGCGTTCGCGGAGCCGTGCTCCGAATGCTTCCCAGACTGCTCAAGTGCTGTGACTGCCACGGTGGCCAAGGAGGGCCCCAGAAGCTCTGGGCCGGCAGGCCGTCGCCGCCGCCGCCGCAGCACCCGCGGGCGCCGCCGCCGCCGCCGTCGCGATGATCGTCGTGGTGGTCGTCGTAGTGGTCGTGGTGGTTGTGATGGTGGTGGTCGTCGTCTGTGGACGTGAACGGACGATTGCGCATTCTGGGGCGTGTTTTGCTTTTCCGGGGCCTCCGGACTCTGGAGATCTGTGGGCCACCTCCAGGGCCTCCAGAAACCTCCTGGGGCTCTCCTGAAACTCCCACAGGCCCCCACGAGAGCTTGGAGGGCCCAAAGGGGCGCCAAGGGAGCTCCCAGGCAGGCCCCAGAGCCCCAACAATTGAACACAGAGTTAACACGCCGCCGTCCTTGACGAGGAAGCGGTTTATGTTACATGTCTAACAATACTGAAGCCTCTTGGGGCCGCCTCGGAGCTCTCTTGGGGCGTTTTGGGCGCCTCTAGGACCGTCATGGGGTTTTCTTGGGCCGTCTTGGGGCCCTCTTGGGCCGTCTGGGGGGCGGTCTTGGGGGCCTGTTGAGACGTCGTGGAGCGCCAGAAGCTCGAAAAGTCTAGTTTTTCGAGCACAAAGGAAAACCAATGGAGAATCATTGGTTTTTGCCTCTTGCGGCCATCTGGGGAGCGCTCATGGAAACCTCTTGGGCCGTCTGGGAATGGTCGTCGCCCCCGAGCGGGGAACCGACGTGAACGAGGATCTCCTTGACCCCGCACGAGAACACGCCCGTACAACCATGACGCCGCCGGCACCATCGCAAGCGTGACAATGCAAAATCACCTGCTTGGACTAGCTGGTCGTGTAGCGCCAGACGCTGCCAGGTTCCCCAAAGGAAATCGCCAGGGTGGCCCAGCAACTGGAGCTCAACAAAAAGTGTGAATAACACGTAGATAACATTGAAGCCTGTCAGCCTGAGTTGACGGGCCGAAGGATTGCAAAAAAACCAAGGATTGCAATCCTTCGTTTTTGCAATCCTTCGTTTTTTTGCAATCCTTCGTTTTTGCAATCCTTCGGCCATGCGACCCTAAGTTGACGTACGCACACACACACACTCAATCACACACGCACACGCACACGCTCACGCACACGCACGCACGTATATGTTGTTTCCCTCCGCGATCCCAGAACGCACGCACGCACGCATGCACGCACTACAGAACTGCTGACCCTTTCCCTGGGGGTAGCCTGCGTCGTGGATTCCACTTCCGATGGCCCTGGGGGCCCAAAGACGGCCCCGAGGCCGAACAAAAAAAAAACTGCGGGATGAAACGTCGGATCGTCGGAGACCGTCGGTGGCCGTCGGTGGTCGTCTGCGGTGGCCGTCGGTGGTCGTCGGTGGCAGGCGTTGTCGCTCTCGTCGTCGGGAGGCGCGGGCCCGCCTGGCCCGACGGCTCGGGGACGTCGTCGGGTGCCCCGTCCTCGGCGCTGCTGTCCTCCTGGGGCAGCGCGGTGCGCGGTGCGGGCGCTTCTTTCCGTCTCCCTCCCTCTTTCTTGTTCTCTGAATGTTCTCTCTCTTCCTTTCTCTCTCCCTCTCTCCCTCTCTCTCTCTCTCTCTCTCTCTCTCTCTCTCTTTGTCTCACTCCCTCTCTCTGTCCCCCGTTCTCTTTTTATCTTGTTTGGTTATCTCTCTATATTTTATTATAGGGTCTCTGTTGTGTGTGTTGCTAATGTCTCTCTCTCTCTCTCCTTTCTCTCTCTTTTTTCCCCTCTCTCTCTCTCTCTCTTTCTCTTTTTGTGTATCATGTTGTTGTTGTTGTTGTTCTCTCTCTCTCTCTCTCTCTCTCTCTCTCTCCTTTGCCCCACTCGCTCATAGATATGTATCCCCAACTAGCTCGCTCACTCCCTGCGGTGCTCTGTATGCGTGGTCGTGTTATAGTTTCTAGGTTCGCGTGTTGATGTATCTCTGTCTCTCTCTCTCTCTCTCTCTCTCTCTCTTTACACACACACGCACACGTATGTCTACTAACTCGTATCCCCCTCTCACGCTTCTCTATCCATGTCGTGTATATGTTTATTGCCATCCGCCTCTTTTGTGTTTCTCTCTCTCTCTCTCTCTCTCTCTCTCCCTCTCTCTCTCACTCTCTCTCTCTCTCTCTATCTTGGTATCTTCATGTTTGTATATAGACCCGGGGGCAGAGAGAGAGAGAGAAAGGGATATATATATATATATATAGAGATATATATAGAGAGAGAGAGAGAGAGAAAGAAAGAGAGAGAGAGAGAGAGAGACCGCGCGCGCCTCGCGCCGCGCCCAGGCGTCCAGCAGGGCACTCGATGTCGCCGCCGAAGCCGAGTTCGGCCACGCTGCGCTGCGCGGCCGCAAAGGGCCCTGCTGGCGGCGGTGGCCTGCGCCCACTGCTCCTGCAAGGTCGCGCCAGAGCTCCAGCAGCAAGCGCCGGCGGCGCAGCGCCTTCGCCGCCTGCCACAGCGGGGCAAGGGTAGCGACCGCAGCGGGGTCGAGGCGCCAGCTCGGGCTCAGCACGCCGAAAACGATTTCGGCAGCAGCCCGATGCCCGCCCCGGCAGACGGCCTGCCGCGCGGTCGACCGCAGGCTGGCCAACTCGCGCGCGGGAGGTCGGCCACACGACGTGCCGTACATGCCAGCAGCGGTGCTGGCCGCCGCGCCGAGCAAGCAGCGCTACCGGAAGCCAGCCGGCAGCTTGGCGATGCGGGAGAACCGCCCCGCCGCCGCCCGGGCCCGCGCGCCAGTCACCGCGCAGCGGCGGCCTCTCCCTGCGGTAGACGCGATGCCAAGGTCACGGATACGCGGAGACAAGCTGTGTTCGCGAACTGGCGGCTCTTGTCCCTGTTGAGGCGCCACTCCATGGCGGTCTCGAACTCCGCCGTTAACCCCAGCGCCTCGCGCAAGGCCTCCCCGACCTCGGCCGTCTCGTGCCCAGTGCCGCGCGCCCAGAGTGAAGTCGTCGACGTAAGCCCTCTGCTGAAGGCGGTCGTCGAGCCTGCCGCATCGCCGCTGCCAGGGCCAAGTCAGCACGCTGAGGAAGAAGAGTGCCAGGGGGCATCCTGGCAGCATGCCGCTGGACGGCACCCATGGCTCGCCGATCGCCCGGCCAACCCGCGCGCGCCGCTGCGCCGAGTAGGCCGCCAAGGCCGGCGCCGCCATCCAGCGCGGCACTCCGGCCCGCTGCAGGACGGCGGGGAGCGAGTTGAGCCCAACGTGGTCGTAGGCCTTACGCCAATCCAGGGCCGCGCCGGCGACGGTCTCCCCCAGGGCCTCCGCCGCCTCGAACTCCAGCGCGAGTTTCCAAGCGAGCTCTTCCGCGCAGCGCCTGTCGTCGGCGCCGCCCCAGCTCAGCCGCCACTGCGCGAACAGGCGCGCGCGCCCCACCGCCCACATGCGGTGCAAGATGGGCAGCAGCCATATGGGACGCCTGTCTAGACGTCCGGTACCCCCGTCAGCCTTCGGGAGCAGCAGGCCCTCCGGTTCCGCGCGCTCTCGGGGCCACTCGCCGGTCGCCTCCACCTCCTCCAGGAGAAGGGCGATCCAACCGTGCAGCTCGGCCGGCAGAAGGCGAAGCTCGCTGACCGTCCACCCGTCGAGCCCTGGCTTTTTCATTTTGGGCATGCGGTGCAGGAGACCCGCCACGAGCTCAGCGGTCCAAGGAACGCGCTCTGGGAGCGGCGGGAGGCCGTCCAGCTCCTGCAACCATCCCTCGTCGAGCGCTTCCTGGGGCTGCCGCTGCCACAGCTCGCGCCACGGCCCTTCGAAGTAGCGGAGCTGCACTGCAGGGCCGCCGCGAAGCGCGAGGAGCCAAGGCTTGCTCCCGATCGCGGCACTGGCGGCGCCAGCATCGACCGTCGGATCTGGCACGAGCGCGGCGCCCACGGCGCCGCCTCCGCGGATCCGCCGGCAGAGCTGGGCCAGCTCCACATTTCCCTGCGCCAGAAACGAGTTTACGCTTCATCCGAAATTTTGTTCCGCATGGGCGATCGCGGCTCGTTCCGAGATGTTCTCTGAAGAATACCCCTGCGCTCAAGCATGAACAATTCGCCCTCGAAATTCCTCGCAGCAGCCTCGCGTAGTGCCGGGAACTGGCGTTCCCATTCAGAAGATAATGGACGCTCTTCTGCCCAGGAGGCCACAGCAAGAGGCAGCCGAAAGTCCCGAAGAGGCCCCGAAGGGACCCTAGGAGGCTTCCAAGAGGCTCACACATAGATCCCCGAAGAGGCGTCCGACAAGCCTTCTCTCGCCCGTCCGCGTCGCTGCCATTCCCTCGCTGTCCCTTCCTGCGACCTCCCCTGGCCCTTCTGCTCCGATCCTGCTGTTCCTGTTTTTCCTCCATTCCGTCTCCTCCTCCACCTCCCTCCTGCTCCTCCTCCTCCATCTCCTCCTCCTCCTCCTCCTCCTCCTCCTCCTCCTCCTCCTCCTCCTCCTGTTTTCTCCCTCGTCATTTTCCCCTCCTCGTCCTCCAATGCCACCGCCTCCATGCCGATTGTGCAGTGAGCGGGGTGCCGAACCCTGCAATTTCCATTCGAGGATCAGTTTCAGATCTTCAACACATTGGGAAAGCATATGTGAGAGAGACTGGATGTCGGATCTTGCGTGAGAGCACCTATATTGATGTTCCATTCTCTACGTTCGTCTTTCTGACCTCTCTCTCTCTCTCTTTGTGTCGATATCCTTCTCTTCTCTCCCTGAACGTATTATCTACATTCTCTGTGCTATAGTTATAATAGTTATGTCTCTCTCTATATTTCCATATGTATCCCGTTATTACTCTGTCTCTCCGCTCCCACTCTCTGTACATATATGTGTACATATATATACATATATATATGTATATATATATATATGTATGTTTACCCCGTCTCTCGATATGTATGGCCTCTATATCTCTCTACATATATAGAGATATGTACCGCTGCGCTGTCTTTTTTTCTTCTCTCTCTCTCTCTCTCTCTCTCTCTCTCTCTCTCTCTCTTCGTGGCGCGTGATTCACGTGTATATATATATATATATATATCGATAGATAGTGGGCCAAATCTCCATCTCTCTCTCTCTCTCTCTTTCCTTTCTCGCTCTATTATCCCTCCGTTTATCTCCCTTTCTTCCTGTCCTCTCATTTTCTATGCTCAAAATCATAAACTTTCTTTCCTCTCCCATATCCACTATCTACCGTACCTGTGCTCGCGAAGACTCGGGTACTTGGCCACAGCCAAAAACGCAAGAGCCCCGGCACCAACCGAATTCGGCCCAGCACGCTACCATGCCATGAAACCTGGAACCAGGGAGGTCGGACGCCCACTGAAATATGCAGGAGACTTTCGCCACAATTTCGATCGCTAGAAGCCTTGAGTGCAAGCGCTGATTGGGGAACATGTTGTCATCGCCAATCTGCGAAACAAATCTCAATCTGCGGGTGCCGAGAACGCGATACCCAGAAAGCTGCTTGCCAAACCGTAGAAGTCATGCATCCAAGATCCATTGATACACAACGCAGTCCACGATATCGAGCTTAGATGAAGGCACGCGGCCGACCACTCATACACACGCGAACCGACGTGTATAACAACCAGATGCCGAGTGCAATCGAATTCTCGGCACCTTGGATCTGAATAAGAAACGAAATCCCTTTCTGGCCGAACTTGCGCCGAAGTAACCAAGGAGCCACCGGGGAACACCTCAACGAGAGACCTGAGGAACCCTGATTCCGACGGTGTGTGACTGCACCACCCTGAAGCGCAAATGCAAACGAAAACATAGGAGAACCTGCTTGTCGTGCACTTGCGCTCTGGCTAAGAGGGAGCCGCGCGGCGCCGTCAGCATCAGCGGGAACATCATGCCAGGCTCTTGGCTGCTCACCGTCAGGAAGCCAATCTTCGCCGGTGGCGGCGTCACCAGTGGGGGAAGAAGGGGGCTTGAATGCTGGAGTCCCAGCGGGTCACATGCTTATCAGATGTTTTCAGCGGCCATCTTGAAAGAGGGTAGGTGGTAACGAACACCACAATGACAGTACGACTCAACGAGGCCTCCGCGGGGCCGGCCAAACACAACTCGCTCGGGTAGTGTGCACACTGGCAGCGAACGCCGTCCCGATCTCACCAGGACGGGCGAGTAGGAGTGGGGTCGGATTGGGCGCGAGGGCGAGGAGAACAATACTGTGTGGCCTCGGCTGCGTGGCCTACTCGTGCTGCTTTCTCTTGCGCCTACCTGGAAGCAGGCCAGTCCAGCTTCTGGCTTCCAGCTTCCCTGAGACCCGACGTTACCTTAGAAATGTAGCATCGCCCAAAAACACGACCGGAGCCCTGGACCCCATCTTCTCTCCACGTTGTTTTCCGAGCCAGATCGACCTGTGAGGGCCCCGAGGCCCGAAACATGGAGAAAACGCCCGTTGTGAGGACGTTGCCACGCCAGGATCTCAGGCTTCGGCTCCTCGATCCTCAACTCTCGAGGAAGAACAAACACTACAGACATACATGCGCTTTCGGAGCTCCGAGCGGATCTCGGGGATCGGCGTTAGGCGCCCCTCCCTGGCGCGTGGAGCGCCGCCAGGGGGCTCCGGCGCAGGTCCAAGCAATTCGGGCGGAGCGACGAAAGCTTAGGTTGATGCCTTCGAGGCTCGATATTCGATGCTCCATATGGCGGCGAGCCTGGGGGGGGAAATGGGAAGGGGCGGGCCTTCTCAGAAGGCTCGGAAATCCCCCAGCCTTCCGAAACGTGTCCCGAGCCTTACCTGGAGGTACAGAAAACCTCTCGAAGGCCGAAGCCCTTCGGAGAAGCCCCGCTCTGAGAAGGCCTCATCCTTCGCACTTCCTCCCCCTCGCTCGCCACCGACCGATGCCCCATCGAGTCGGCTGCGCGCAAGAGTGACCCGTGGCAAGAGTGGTGTGCGGCTTTGGGGGGCCGCGGCGCGGCCAAGTCTGGGCGATCCAAGCGCGCCAGCTGCTGCTGGTGGGACCCCTGCGGGCCCGCACCGAAGGTCACTCTGGCGAAAGGTCACTCTTGCGCGTGGCCGATCCAGGGATCGCATCCCCGACGACGTGCGAAACAGACAAACAAACAACTAAGCACATACATAAACAAGTACGTATTCCTCCACGGAAGCAATCGCATCAGCATGGTGCTAGCTCGCGCGTGTGCCGTTCGCATCGCGAGCCGAATGAGAAGAGGAGCGGGAGGATGCGAATGTCCTCCTAGGGTCCTGCTTGCTAGGGGGCGGATAGATGTATTCAGCCATTGTGAATGCATTCTCCCATGAGCCGAACGATCAGTCCCATACACGTGCATCAAACGACAACGAACAAAGTCCACAGCGCAACACAGTCTATTCATTTATTCCCCTAACACATAAACAATACATACACCACCACGTAATTCATACATAAAGCACACACCTATCTACAAACATACATGAACAATTATATACAGACACAGCTACATAGATCGATGATAACATAACGTATGTCAATCATCTTACATATATATATATATATACACAAACATGTGACAGACTTAAACAACTTAATAATTAAACGCACCGGCTCATATACACATAACTAGACATATGCATCGCTATGTATGTATGTATGTATGTATGTATGTATGTATGTATGTATGGATGTATGTATGTATGTATGTATATATATGATTGCGTATGTGTATGTTCACAGAAAGAGAGAGAGGGAAACACTTACACATATAAACAGAGAAAAAGAAAGAGAGAGAGAGAGAGAACAAGATAGACATATCCAGTGCTCGACGTCGGCGGCGCGCGGAGGGGCGAGATCCTGGGGAACACGGGGGGCCTGGCCCTTCCATGGGCCCCTGGTCTGGCCGACGCCCGCGCACGGCAGGCTCACGTGGTGCCAACTTCCGCGCTGTGTTTCTTTTGGCGGCGAGCGAGGATGGGAAGTGAGAAGGAGGAGGCCTTCTCAGAAATCGGCGGGGCTTCTCAAACGCCCATCGACCTTCTGAGAGGTTTCCTGTCTCCCGGGAAGGCTTCGTAAACTTATCAGAGTGCTGGGGGACTTCCGAGCCTTCCAAGAAGGTCCGCCCCCTCTCACTTCCCACCCGGACTGGCCGCTGATTTTTTACGACGCCGCAGGGATCGTTCCACCTGAAACGAGCGGCCATTCCCTAAACGTCAGCTTGTCAAATACCGACCGGACTTCTGAGTCGCCGGCGGCGTCCAAGGTTGAGCGCCCGCCGCTGGGGTCGCCGACCGGTCGACACGGCGCGAAAGCCTGCCTACCGCACCCCTTCCCTACCGAAGGAAGCGCCGACTCTCGCGCACAGCGCCCCGATGCTGGCGGAAGACACGTCCGCCGAGACTGGCGGCCAGCGCCACGTCTCTTTCGGGGATGGACAGACCCCCCTTTAGTAAAACGTGGCTTAGTGAAAACGACCTGAGGCCCAAACCTGGCGGGCGCAAGCCTCGAAAATAACGGCCACGGCGCCCTCTCGAGAACCGAAAACGGACAACTCACTAATCGACGTGTCACTGTTGGGGGTTCTGTCCACCCCCGAATCTGGGCCGGCCGTGTGCTTGTGCCGCTTTCTTTCTCGGAGCCTGCCACGCATCGATCCGGCTTGCAACTGAAGGCAGCACCGAGTGTGGGCTGGAACCCTCCCAATGTCGGCGAACTTCGGCGGCGAACCCAGGTAGGAGGAGGAGGAGGAGGAGGAGGAGGAGGAGGAGGAGGAGGAGGAGGAGCGGCCTCTGGGGGGGAGCGGCCTCAGGGGGGCCTCGGCCGCTCCGTGGGCCCCCAGGCGCCTGGCTCCGACGCCCGCGCGCCCCTCGCCCGAGGAGAGCGCCGGCTCGGGCGTCGCGTAACAAAGGGGGGGGGGAGGAGGAGGAGGAGGAGGAGGAGGAGGAGGAGGAGGAGGAGAGGAGGAGGAGGAGGAGGAGGAGGAGGAGGAGGAAGGAGAGGAGGAGGAGGAGGAGGAGGAGGAGGAGGAGGGAGGAGGAGGAGGAGGAGGAGGGGGGTATAAAACGGGGGGTGGGGGGGGGAGAAAGGTGCGCTCTTTTCGGGCACCTTCGGGGCCCCAGATGGGGCACCATGGGACGCCAGAAGGTGCACGAGGAGAGGCGCGCTTCCTCGCCCTCCCGTTTCCATCCCCCTCCATTGAGCAACGCCCGACCAGCTTGAGCATCTCCCGACGCCCGCGGACACAAATCGGCCGAAACTTCGGGCGCCCAGAATGACAGTTTTTGGGGCGGCATGCGGTGCGCTTTCGCCCGGCTGATGGGCAACGATGGGGGGGGACTGGCAGAGGAGGGGGAAGCGTCGAGCAAGAATTAGCGATACATCGCCGATAGATCTGCGATAGGCCCTCGATGGCGGATCTGCACGTGCCAAGGCTGGGTGGTCTATCGGGCCCCTTTCTGGGATCAATGGGCGTTTGGGGGTCGATGCATCCCCCCTGAGCCTATCCGCCACTACACTGCCCATTGAGGGCAACCCGCAGAGGCACGCTCGCGCATCAGGGGACGAGGCGGACGGGGGGGGGGCAGGGGTTGGAGGCTTGGAAATGGGCACCAACAACAAAACAGGATATTGCCTCCAATGGGCGAAGCTGCTCCCAGATTTTGGTGTTGGTGGTAATGTTTCGGCCACCTACGAAGCGCGAGTATTACCACCGTTGCCGAGATCGGGATCACCTTCCCTCGGCGCAGACACACCGCCAATGTTGGTGTTGGTGCAAACCTCCAAGCCGCCGAGGGGGCCCTCGCTCAGAGACTGCAGCCACGGGTGGTGCGGATGGGAGCACCAGCTCGAGAGCAGATGATTCAGGGCCCCGCGGCCGCTGGGTGGCCCGATCGTGGAGGAGCCCGTGGGCCACGTCGTCGTCGAAGATGTCGTCGTGATCGTCGTTCTCGTCGTCGTCGTCGTGGTCGGAACGTCGTCGTCGTCGTCGTCGTCGTCGTCGTCGTCGTCGTCGTCGTCGTCGTCGTCGTCGTCGTCGTCGTCGTCGTCGGGTCGTCGCCGCCGCCGTCGACGCCGCCGCAACCGTCGCCGCCGTGGTGGTGGTGGTGGTGGTCGTGGTCATCGTCGTCGCCGCCACCGCCGCCGCCGTCGTCGTCGTCGTCGTCGGATCGCCGCCGCCGCCGCCGCCGTCGTCGTCACTGCCGCCGCCGTCGTCGACGTCGCCGCCGCTGTCGCTGCCGTCGGATCGAAGCCGTCGCCGCAGTGGTGGTGGTGGTGGTCGCCGTCATCGTCGTCGCCGCAGCCGCCGCCACCGCCGTCGTCGTCTCCGCCGTTGTTTCCGCCGCCGTTGCCGTCGTCGTCGTCGTCGTCGTCGTCGTCGTCGTCGTCGTCGTCGTCGTCGTCTGATCGTCGCTGCCGCCGCCGCCGCAGTCGTGGTCGTGGTCGTGGTCGTCGTCGTCGGATCGCCGTCTCCGCCGTGGTGGTGGTGGTGGTTGTCGTCATCGTCGTCGCCGCCGCCGCCACCGCAGTCGTCGCGCCGCCGTCGTCGTCGTCGTCGTCGTCGTAGTTGTCGTCGTCGTCTGATCGTCGCCGCCGCCGCCGCCGCCGTCGTCGTCGTCGTCGTTTCCGTCGTCGTCGCCGTCGTCCTCGTCGTAGTCGTCGTCCTCGTCGTCTTCACGGCAAGAGGAGAACCCTTCGCCAGGGTCGGGCCCACAAATAAATCTCACTCGTCCATTGCCTCAGCAGTCCCAAGACCCGGCGAGTTTCTTGCGACTTGCGCCGCTTGCAAACCGTACGTGATCGGGCCCACCGGCAGCAGGCGAACAACAACGATGCTCGAGCGAGTTTGCGGCGTGCAGGAATGCAGAGCGTGCGGCAGCCACGCAGAGGAAAACGCCGACAAAGAGGAGGATATCACCCAGCGTTGACCCCAAATATATTAGACGACTC